TTCTCCACTAACATGAATGGCAGGAACATTTGGTCTTGACATCTGTGGCATTTTGGACAAAGGCAAAGTTTCTTATTTTTTCCTGTTATAATAGCATCATGTAATTTCCTGGCAAAGATGTAAGTGCTTATGAATAATGTTTTGAGTGCTATGTAGTGCTTAGGACTCACTGTCAAATAGACCGTAATGGTAAAAGAACATTACTTCTAAACAAGAGTACACTTTCTGCGAATCAGCACATATATACATCATCTAATGACATTTTGGAATATAGTCCCCGAAGAGATTGTGTGAGAATTTTTTTCTCAGAATTGCCCCAAATACAGTTGTCCTTGTTTGTAAGGATCTGATACATTCTTTTGCTTGAGCAAGGGTGGTAGCACACATGAATTCTAGAAGTTACACTTGTACCCTTTGATTTCTTGGCCTCTCTTCTTTCTCTTAGTTCTCTCTGTCTGTCTTGCCAATAACCTTGCCCACCCTAGAGCAATTGAAACCTGATCACAGGATAAAAAAGGAGCATAAACAATACTCTTTTAAAATGCCTCTTCTCATTAGTAGCTATGAATACTACTTAAATCCCACCAACCAACCACTTTCTGTCAAGTCAGTTTCGACTCATGGGCAACCCTGTGTGTGTCAGAGTAGATCTGTGCTCCATAGGGTTTTTCAATGGCTGATTTTTCTGAAGTAGATCACCAGGACTTTCTTCCAAGTTCCCACTGGGTGAACCTCCAACGTTTTGGTTAGGTGCCCAGCAAATTAACCATTTGCACTACCCAAGGGAAGCCCTGGTGGTGCAGTGGTTAAGAACTCGGCTGCTAACCAAACAGCTGGCAGCTTGAACCCACCAGCTGCTCCTTGGAGACCCTATGGGGCAGTTCTGCTTTGTCCTATAGGGTTGCTATGAGTCGGAATCAACTCATCAGCAATGGGTTTGGTTTTAGCTTGAGTATCATCCAAGGACTCTTGCTTCTTAAATATGTATCCATGTTTTGTACAAGTGTTTCCCTTTAGAAACTCATATACTTTGACCCAGAGTATGCTAATAGAAAAAATGCATAATAGATGTCAAATATTTAATAATTATACTGATATTTTTATTAATGCCACTGAAAGATATCCATGAAGTTAAGCTTTATATTAAGATATTTCCTCCTTGCTTAGAATCATTAATAATTAATTTATGATTCATGGTATTAATAAAGATTTTGTAATGTCAGTTAAATAATTATAATAAAAGGATTTTCGCACATTAAGATCATGTCACCAAGTAAAAAATCAGTAAGTCCTCGTTTTTTATTATTGGGTGTTTTGGGTTCATTGCTGAATAATGGAGAAGTGATGAAGTTTCTACTCAAAATCAACCAAATATAAAGAACTTATTTGACTATACAACATTTGGGTATAATGGCTGTCTGCTTGTTTAATTCCTTGGCAATATTATCAAAACCTTCAGAAGAAAGAAGAATTGACAGCAGGAACTCAAAGCAGATCGTACTTAAATATATTCCTGAAAAATATGAGCATTAGATAACATTCAGTGTGATGCTGGCAGTTGATAAATCAGATACAATGAACCTAATTATGCAAAACAGTCATTTTGAAACTATCGTTCATGTGAATGCTATCTAAATCAGAACTTACCTAAGTACTAGCAAAGGGAAATGTAAGGAACTTGCTTGCCCTCTTCCTTTCCTTTTCTGAAAACATTCAGTGAGTTTTATTAACACTGAATTCATAGACCACTGCCCCAGTCATTCAGAAATGCTCTATTTTCTGCGTATTTGAATGTAAGGTGGTCTTTGCTAAAGATAGAGCTTTGGTGTTGTAGTGGTTAAGAACTCAGCTGCTACCCAAAAGGCTGGCAGTTCAAATCCACCAGCCATTCCTTAGAAACCCTATGGGGCAGTTCTGTTCTGTCCCATGGGATTGCTATGGTCGGAATCCACTGGACAGCAACAGGTTTATTTTATTTTTTTGTTTCTATTTTTTTCAATGCTAAAGATAAGGAGCCCTGGTGGTGCAGTGGTTAAGAGCTGGTGCTAACCGAAAGGTCAGCAGTTCAAATCTACCAGTTGCTCTCGGGGAGAAAGATGTGGCAGTCTGCTTCCATAAAGATTGCAGCCTTGGAAACCCTATGGTGACGTTCTACTCTGTCCTGCAGGGTCACCATGAGTCAGAATGGACTCGACGACAATGGGTTTTTATATTCCTTATCCTAAAAGATACCAGCAAAACATTTATCTGTCTGTAATTTCAAAACTTTTGAATGACTTTTTCTTCAAACATTCTGTTGTTGCTGCTGCTGCTGTTGCTGTTGTTGTCAGCTGCTGTAGTGTTTGTCCCTGACTGGTGACAACCCCACGCACACGGACACAAAATGCCACCCACTCCTGTGCCATCCCCATGATCAGCGGAGAACTGGACCTTTGTAATCCTTAGGATTTTCAGTGGCTGATACTTGGAAATATATTACCAGCTCTTTCTTTTTAGTTTGTCTTACTCTAGAAGCTCCTCTGAAACCTATTCAATATCCTAGCACCACGCAAGCCTCCACTAACAGAAGGGTGGCGGCTGTGTGTGAGGTGCGATGGCCAGGAATCTAACCCAGTTATCCCGCATGGGAGGTGAGAATTCCGCCACTGAACCATCATGCTGCGTACAGATATTCTATGCAAGGATATTAAAATCCTTTAGGCTACGTGATTCTGAAGAAGCAGCCCAATTTTTGAGTATTTGACAACTTTGTCTTTAAAATGGCCACCAGTGGAACCTCTGGATCCGCTCATCAGAGGTAGAGCTGTTCACAAACCCCACCAAGATTAAGGAGTTCCAATACCCTATCCCTTTAGGCTGAAAAGGAGAGTTTTGAAATGAGGCTGTTCAAAGGCAACTGCCAGTTAAATCCCAACATGACACACTGCTGTTAGCTTCGGAGATTGAGCTGAAGGGTCCTTCCTAAATCAGCTGTAGCCTCGTTTGGTTCCCGTATGCGTTCTCTACTCACCGTGGACAGATGACAACCCTCCTTGATTCTTCATCTTCTTCATTGTGCATAGGTGTCCTCCATCCCATCTGCCCCTAGTGAGGTGACTTCTCTGACGTTCCTGCTCCTGTGGTTCTGACTGTGGTGGTGGTATTAGTTGTCATTGAGTCAGCTCAGACTCATGGCAACCTCAAGTACAACAGGAGAAAATGTTGCCCAGTCCTCTGCCATCTCCACAATCATTGGTATATTTGAGTCCATTGTTGTGATTAGTATATCAGTCCATCTCATGAGAGTGTCCCCCATTTTTATTGGCCCTCTACTAAGGAGCCCTGGTGACTCAGTGGTTAAGCACTTGGCTGCTAACCAAAAGGTCGGCAGTTCGAATCCACCAGCTGCTCCTTGGAAACCCTATGAGGCAGTTCTACTCTGCCCTGTAGGGTCGCTGTGAGTCGGAATCGACTCGACGCAGTGGATTTTGGCTTTTACTTTACTAAACATGATGTCCTTTTCTATCAGTCTTAGAAAAAAAGCAACCAGAATGTTCGTTAAAAGTGAGGATGGCAAGACTTCAACTCACTTACTTTGGACACATCATCAGGAAAGACCAATCACTAGGACAGGACATGGCTAGAAAAGGTTCTAACTATACCTTACCTGAAATATTGGCTCTCAATCCATTCCTTTTATTCTGTCTGCCCTCTCAGTCTCTTAACCCTACAAAACTCCATTTTCTGCTCCTTCAGAGATACCTATGTGTCTTAGTCATCTAGTGCTGCCTTAACAGAAATACCACAAGTGGATGATTTTAACGAAGAGAAGTTTACTTCTTCACAGTAAGGTAGGCTGAAAGTCCAAATTCAGGGCGTCAGCTCCAGGGGAAGGCTTTTTCTCTCTGTCAGCCTTCTCATCAGTGTTCCTCCGGACTAGGAGCTTCTCGGCGCAGGGACCCCTGTCCAAGGACTCACTCTGCTCCTGGCACTGCTTTCTTGATGATATTCCCCCTATCTCACTGCTCACTTCTGTCTTTTATATCTCAAGAGATTGCCTCAGGACACAGTCCAGTCTTGTAGCTCAGGTCCTGCCTTACTAACACAACTGCCACCCATCCTCCCTCATTAACATCATAGAGGCAGGTTTACAACATACAGAAAAATCACACAGTACCAGGAATCATGGCCTAGCCAAACTGATACACACATTTTTGGGGGGATGTAATTCAAACCATGACACCATGGTTCCCTGTATACAGTGTTGCTCCAACATAACACTTCTTCCCATGTTATATATGAAGTGACCCAAGGAGGAATTTACAAATATATGAAGCTGGGTGATGGTGGCCTCAATTTGTAAGTTATACCAGTTAGTAACAGTAAATTGTACCTTTTCAGAGGGTGGTGGATGAAATGCAAATGCTTCAATTTGGAGGGTGGGAGTAAAGGAAAATATAACTTTACAACTTTTTTTTTTTTTTTGACATCTGCTCCTCTGAGGGATTTAGGCTGTTGAACGTCTGAATATTCTGGTTCATGCACAGTTCAGGGAAAAACTGCTGATGGAAACTCATTCTGGTTCACTCTTCAGGAACAGCATCAAGATGGCTTGCCGTTGGGATTTATTCACTGACCCATCATTTCACTTAATTTCTGTTGTGAAGTTGAAGGTGCAAGGACTGTGGGATAACTAGGGAGGTTTAAGTTTGACTGGCTGATTCCTCTCATGGGGAACCCAGCTACAGTCATTAGACTGTGAGAAAAATGATGTTTCAGTGGCTTCCTTCAGCGTGAATTTATCTGGGAAACATTACTGTCCTTAAAGTGAGGTGGTTTTGGGAGCAAAGCAAGGTGGCTGGGTGATACCGATAAGCTGATTAGCTTGATGTATTGCTGCAATTTCATGTTATTCATTTGATTTTCGGCAGATTTCAAGAATTTTCAAATGTGCCTTTGCTAACCCCACTGCTGCTTGGACAGTGATCTGGCCCTCATGGCTCTCTGTTCATTCATTTCAGCTGGGTCCCGAGCCTCCTACAGCAGCCAGCACGGCCACCTGGGCCCAGAACTGAGGGCCCTGCAGTCCCCAGAGCACCACATAGACCCCATTTATGAAGACCGCGTCTACCAGAAACCCCCCATGAGGAGCCTCAGCCAGAGCCAGGGGGACTCTCTGCCACCAGCGCACACGGGCACCTACCGCACGAGCACAGGTGTGTACTCGGCACCTCAGTCAGAGGCCAGTCCATGGTGGGCGAGCTCTGCGTCTGCTGGGGGGCTTACGAAACGCTCCCTCACGAATGGACGTGGAGAGCGTGTGTGTGTGGTGTATATGTGTGTGATGCATATGTGTGTGTGTGTGGTGTATATGTGCACGTGTGTGTGTGATGTGTGTGGTGTGTGTGTATGTGGTAAATGTGGAGTGTTTGGTGTGTGTGCTTGCTTTGTGTGGTATGTGTATGTGATGTGTGGTATGTTTGGTGTGTTTCATGGTGTGTGTGTGATTTTGGTGTGTGTGTTGTGTGTATATATGTAGTATGTGTGGTCTGTGATATGTGTGATGTGGTTTGTATAGTGTGTGTGTGTGTGTGTGGTGTGGTGTAGTATGTGTGGTGTGTGGTATGTGTGATGTGTGTGTTGTGTGTGTAGTATGTGTTGTGTATGTGTGATGTGGTGTATGGGGTGTGTGTGTGTATGTATGTGGTGTGTGTGTGTATGTGGTGTGTGTGTGTCCACCCTCTCTCCCCACAAGCATCATGACCTTCATCACATCTGTGATGATGATGGTAGAAACAGCATGTGACTCACTTGAGCTTCTTGAGTCTGAAGGGAAGGAGTACAGCAGGGGTTATGAAGTGATTTTGCCACTCAGGCAGTGTGAGGGAAACAGTACTCATTTTTTAATATGTCTGAGTTAACATATTTAATGAATATAAGTACTGCAAGAAAATGCGGTCATTGTACCTGCTGCCATCAAGTCAATTCCGACTTACAGTGACCCTATAGGACAGAGTAGAACTGCCACATAGGGTTTCCAAAGCTGTAAATCTTTATGGAAGCAGACTGCCACGTCTTTCTCCTGGCAGTCATTATACAGGACCAAAAAGGCATATGCCTGATGCTGGTAATGGATTCTAATGATATGGTCTACCTGTTTATCAAGCTCAGAAAATATATGTATATATTTACTAAAAATGTACTGTGTTTTGAAAGTTAGGGCTGATTTCATTCACACTATTAGATTGAATCATATGAAATTGCTGTCTAAGGGTCAGATATTGGCAATCTCATATGGTTGAATCAACTGTATAGCTCTCCTGGATTAAATATGTATTATGAATTAAGTACAACCACAGGCCTCATGAAAAAAGACACGTTTTCTCAACTGTATGTCCATTTGCAAAATAATTGGTCTAATATCGTGATGAAACGTGCTAGAGAACACTTAACTAGAAAATCATTATAATTAAAAACATGCTAAAAATTGCACTTCTAAAGCTCCAATTTGCTAAGTAAACTCAGAACATATTATGTTGCGGGGTGCAGACAATATAGCCAACTATTTTTTTCCCCCAACAATGCATATTACCACGGGCGGGTGCTGAGGCAGGAAAGCTGAAGCTTAGGTCCAGAGATAGGCTTGGGGCTCTACATCCTCCGACTACTGTAACTTCTAGAGATCACTAAGTAGAGCATAGCAATTTTATAAGACTGCATTATGATACTAAATTACACCTTTTGAAATCAAGGCAAGCAAAGTTGCTTTTATAGCTGATTATTGATATTTAAATTTCAATATTTCACTACATCCTAGGAACAGAAGCACAAAATATTCTTTATTTTTGATATTGTAAATGGCTCCAATGTTTAGATGAAGAAGGTACATTTATTCTTTTGTTAGCATTTCTCTCTCCTTCAGCCGTCTAGATCCATTCCTGCCTGGAGTTCGGGCTATTTTAATGGTTAGTTTTTGCAGATTATTAAGTAAGGTTTATTTTATGTCCGTATACCCCTTTTACAAGAGAAAGATAACAGCTTCAGTGACATTCAATATCTAATTCCAATGAAAACTGACAACAAAAGGGATTACGTTGATTCTCTGTTCCATATTCATATTCTCTTAGAATTATTTCTTGCTAATAAGCTTGTGAGGGTTTAATAAAAAATTAGCTACAATAGGTAACAAACATAATTCATCTATGCTACATTAGAGGCAGGGGGAAATGTTCAAACTTCTTTTTTTTGAAAATTGTAGTCAACAGGGGTTGGCAAACTATGGCCCTTGGATGAAATCTGGCTCGCCACCTGTTTTTGTCGGGCCCATGGGCTAAGAAAGATCGTTAAATTTTTAAGTAGTTGAAAAGAAAATCAAAAGACAAATAATATTCTGTGATATGTGAACATTATATGAAATTCACATTTCAGTGCCTGTAAATAAAGATTTATTGGAACACAGCCACGCCCATTTATTTATGTATGATATGGTGGCTTCTGCACTATGTCAGCAGATCAGGTAGTTATGACAGCATATGGCCTGCAAAGCTGGAAATATTTACTACCTGGCCTGTTTGCAGCAAAGTTTGCTGCACCCTGCTCTAAGCCCTCGGTGGCTTGCCATCCCAAAAACACAGGTGCTTTTCCTTTGTAGCTCCTCTGAGGGAAGGCAACAGTGTCCTTTAAATGCTTCAAAGCGGAAATCCTGGTTGCCCTGGTTTTTCTGCAGCTGCAGAGATCTGCTAAGGTTATAACAGTCAGACTGCCAACACCCCACCACAGCCTGCACTTTTGAACTTGAGGCAGTTTTGAGCAAATACCTTGATTTACTCAATACTAGGGAAAAATTTCTAGAAGTGTACAGATGTTTTTTTAGGAAGCAAAGTAGATTGCCAGATCCTTCTTCCTAGTCTTAGTCTAGCAGCACCGCTGAAACCTGTCCACCACAGCTGATCCTGCTCGTATTTGAAATACCAGTGGCCTAGCTTCCAGCATCACAGCAACACAAAAGCCACCACAGTACTACAGACTGACAGACGGGTGGTGGGTGCTTTAGTAGGAAGGCAGAAATTACAGCAGCTGCCTGCGTGCCCGAGGACAGGAAGTAGAGATATGAGGTTTCCGTTGCAGCCTTGAGATCTGGCAGCATAAGAAAAAGTTAAAGGGTCACTTCGTGAATAAGCAATGAGCTAGTCAACTGGTCATCCAGACTCCGCAGAGGGCACACTCTCACCGAATGTACCTGCCACATCTCCTTTCTTGAGGGGTTGGCAGATAAGGGGGCATGAGAGACGGGCCGCAGTGTTCCCGCCATGGGTGGGGGTTGGAATTTCATGAAACGAGACAGAAGCAGCAGACTGCTGAGCTGGATGGTGGCGTGAATATTCGACCTGCTTTTACAGGATGATTAATCCAGTGTCTGGAGATTTACTTCCTGCAAGATGCAAATTTAAAGAGGTACAATTTCAGTAAAGATGTCTGTTTAGGTAAAACACACATTTCATCTGGGCTGCGGCTTGTGAAAACCAGAGCTTGTACAATAGGGAGTATAGCAAAATAAGGAATATTTTGTCCTCATGAATTTGCTTAGAGTCTATTCAGCAGACACTGAAGAACACAGATTTTGATTTCAAGCTCAAACATGTTAATGAATCTCAAATTATGAGTCATTTGATCAGCACTCGACACTGACAACCTCAATGTGCATCTTTATAAACTAGTGAAATAGCCAGCGTCTGATGTGATGATAGTCACATGGGTTTCCTTTCGGATAAATGTGATTCTGAGCAAGTGTTGAAAACAAGTTTTCTGTGATGCATATGGCAGCTTGTAGTAAAAAATTATCATAGACACACTGCCGGGAGAAAATGCACTGACTGTCTTCATGAGGTTGACAAGTATTTCAAAATAAAAGGAAAACAGAAGGTGGTAAACATGCACGCGTGGAGAGAGTATTTAAAAAACGCTTACTGCTCTGCAAGAATAACCAATGTTTAATAAAGTTATAGATGAATTACTTATGACCTTCATAGTCGTAAAATTTTATTACTAGTAAATAATATTCCTGCTATCAAAATATTTTCAATTAAAAGAATCACTTGAGTCCATACAACTGTGGAATATTAGCCGTTTACTACTTGTTAGTAAGTGCCGTTATTGCAAATAGTAAAAATGAGTGGCTTCTATTACAGCAAGTAAAATAAGATCCTATGTAAACTCTTAGTTAATATTTTCATATTTTTTTAGCCTAAAAAGTTGGGGCCTCATTATTACTCAATGGGAAATTGTGAATGAGCCTTTTGATATCATACCATCTGCAAAAACAAAAACAGCTTCCGATGCTTACTTGTATCCAGTTACCTAAGATGGTGAAAATAAAAAGCCTTAATATAGGTGAAGAAAGAGTGTTGGCTAGTAGAATAGTTCATTGGTAAAATTTAAAAATATGGTAATTGCCATAGTTTCATGTAAATGAATAATACCAGTTAAAGGTGGATTGGTGGAAGACTCCTTGAAAACCTGTGATACGCAGATGACACAACCTTGCTTGCTGAAAGTGAAGAGGACTTGAAGCACTTAGTGAGGAAGATCAAAGACCACGGCCTTCAGTATGGATTCCATCTCAATGTAAAGAAAACAAAAATCCTTACAACTGGGCCAATAAGCAACATGATGATAAACAGAGAAAAGATTGAAGTCATCAAGGATTTCATTTTACTTGGATCCACAATCAAGGCCCATGGAAGCAGCAGTCAGGAGATCAAACAACGCATTGCATTGGGCAAATCTGCTGCAAAAGACCTCTTTAAAGTGTTGAAAAGCAAAGATGTCAGGACTAAGGTGTGCCTGACCCAAGCTGTGATATTCTTAATCACCTCATATGCATGCGAAAGCTGGACAGAGAATAAGGAAGACTGAAGAAGAATTGACGCCTTTGAATTATGGTGTTGGCAAAGAATATTGAATACACCATAGACTGCCAGAAGAACAAACAAGTCTGTCTTGGAAGAAGTACAGCCAGAGTGCTCCTTGACTTTGGACATGTTATCAGGAGAGACCAGTCCCTGGAGAAGGACATCATGCTTTGTGAGGTAGAGGGTCAGCGGAAAAGAGAAAGACCCTCTCCAAGATGGACTGACCCAGTGGCTGCAACAGTGGGCTCAAATATAGCGAAAACTGTGAGGATGGTATGGGACCATAGGGGTGTGCACAGGGTTGT